AGATCAATCCCGTTGACGGGTGGGTAGCGCCTATAGGTCAATAATACGACTGACAGACAGGCCAAACGAAGAACTTGCATGGTGCTGTGGTGAACGCGTTAGATCCGGTAAGGGTAATATCTTGTGGTAACAGATAAAAAGCAATTTTCTTTTGAAAATCTTTAAAAAATGCATAGAAGCTATATCAGATTTTCGAAAAAGGAAGAAAATTTTCATACAATTCTCATAATTCATCGGTTTCGCAGTTGAGGTGTTCATTGGGTCCTCTTGATAAAAAAGCAATCTTCCATCATAAAATAATGGGTTTGGAACGAGTAGTGTACAACAACGTTGAAAAGACGTTAACGAATATCGTCTACGAAATGAGTATTGATCATGTACACCACCTGTAATCGTACTAGTTATCAAGCGACTCTAGCAGGTACCAGAAATGCCCGCATTCATCGGTTTCGCAGTTGAGGCGTTCATTGGGTCCTCTTGACCGAAAAACAATAATCATCACCCGTTACACACATGCCACTTCATTCACCACTTTCAAGGAGTTGACATCAATTGGGGTAGCCCATAAGCTTTGACATCGAAGCTGGCTATTTCTGGGGGATAGTTGTCGATCTCGTTCGTTGCAGTGTGGGGCTTATTTGCAAGAGGCAGCCATGAACTGGTTTCCACGGTAGAATCACACACATGCCGATGAATACGATCAAATTTCGATGAACAAACGATTTTTAAAAGTATTTCTTAGTACAGTAGTTATTTTTCTTTATATCAACTACCGCATAAATTCACACGCTGTGAAAAACAATTCACGAATGGCATGAAACTACAATTGAGGGAATAAAAAAGGAAGAAAAGAGAATTAAAGGGAGAAGAGGCGGTTACACGCGGTTTTCGAAGGAAGGTAAACTAAGATGAGAACTTACTATGCTTGCGATGAACTGACATGGTGTAATCACAATTTTAACTGGTTATTTACTGCCTACTCTTTTTAACGGCAAGGTATACATTGCGAAATATGACTTCAATGATGCTGAAATATTTGCAAAACTCCGGACCGCAGGTGTATGCGGTGGGGAAACAACGCGCTATTGTCCTTTCCGGGGAGTAGCGCGTTCACCACCACACCATGCGGGTCCTTCGTTTCGCCTGTCTCTCAGCTAGTTCTTTATCTTTTATCTTTTATCTTATCTTATCTTTTGCCATCAGCAATCATTGTGATTATAACTGCGGCCTAAGCTTAACTGGGTTCCTTGCCGATTTGGGCCCCCCAGATCAATCCCGCTGACGGCTGATTTGCTGATGGCAAAAGATCGATAGAACTAGCTGAGAGACAGGCGGAACGAATGACCCGCGTGGTGTGGTGGTGAACGCGCTACTCCCCGAAAAGGACAATAGCGCGTTCGTTCTCCACCGCATACACCTGCGGTCCGGAGTTTTGCAAATATCTCAGCATCATTAAAGTTACGTGACATGATGTAGTTAATATAGCATCCAGTTAACGATGGTTCCTCACAACGGTTTACAGCTTTATCGTGGCTGGGGGGTGCTCCTGGGTGTCGGACTACGATGTACAGCATGGGATTCATCCCCTGGCAGGGTGTTCCAAGATGTGAGAAGGAGTCCGGGATTTCCATCAGAAAGCCTAGATAGGAGTAAACCAATACCAGGATCCACCACCGCCCTAGTATCAAAGTCGCATGGTGGCAAATCATCCTCTGAGCCACAAGGGCTGCAATTGCCTGTGGTGGTGACAACCTGGGGCAGACTATGGCCAGGATGACCTCGGAATTCCAAGGAACCACAGTGGTTTAACCAGCATATATCCGAAAATTTAGGTTATGCTGGGACCCTCACAACCAGTGAGGACGGGCCATTCAAGTATCAAGTAAGTAAATAACGATAGCTAGCACTACGACGGATTTTGCTCTTTTCGAAACAATTCCCTGTACAGTCGAATTGTTTTCGGAATGAGATCTCTCGCATAGGTTTTACATGGGAAGTGGAATAAAAGGGGGAAATGTTCATGTAACATGATATCACAGAGTAACAGAAAAAATATAATGAAAAGGCAATATTGTTTAAATATTGATTACATCAGAAAAGGACTAAGAACCATAGACGGTTTTGATGAAGAAGGAGATTTACATTAGAATAATGTTTGGGAAGAAGGAATGAACGATTCATATTCAAGCAATACCTCAAGAAAAATCATGACAGCAGTCGTATTTGAACCAGAATAGATACACTGTCTGATGGAAATAAGGGATCCACGAGAGAAATATGAGCTGATAGTAAGAGTTTTTTTTTGAGATTGTAGCAAATTGATTATCTGAAGAAAGGCGCCCCTCCGAGAGCGAACAAAGCCGGAGCGGTCGAGTGCCAGGGGCGGAGCGAGGCTCGAGACGGGGCGTGACCTGCCCCTATGACGACCTGCACGATACGTAAGCCCGCTAGATCGTCAAGATCGCAGAGTTTGTAGAGCGCTTCAGGGCGTCGCCGTCAGATCTGTTGTCAGTTCTCTAGTCTCGACAACTTAATGTCTACAGTATTCGGATAGCATGATTGTTGTCCTCGCTGATAGCGAAACCTTCCGGATGCCTGGTCTACTAACTGACTTAACATTTCCAGTTTAGAGTGCTAGATTTGCTTTCAAATATCGTTGCAAACTCTGATAGATATGGCGGCAACAAAGGTTTGCTACAGTCAGTCTATCATCTACCAGTTCTCTTCGAATGTTACTCTCCGTGTAGAAATGGGATAAGGTCTCTAGGGAATTTGCTGTAAAAAGTCGGCCTGAACTGAATTGGGAACGTAGAAAGTTAATGTGCTACTAGAAGAAAATCACCAATGATGTGATTCGGAAAAGGTGGCAAGGGAAACAACTGAAGATGATTTCAATCACTGGAAAGTAATGAAAAAGTGTAAATGATAACCAGCGTGGTCAACAGAACCGATACTGTTCTGCGTAGAAGAGAGCAAAAGAATCACATTCAAATAACGTTTTATTGCATATTCCTTTAGTTATTATCGCGTTTTTAAGAATAAGTGAAAGTGGGCAGCATCACAAACACAAAGGACGATGCGCTTTAGAAGAACCGGTAAAGGAGTATTCTGTAGGGCGAGACCGACAAGCATGACAATTTGACTCGGCTTTAGGTTCTGCAAAACTTGAAGGTTTGGGCAGTACATGACATAAAGACATCCTAAAGTGTTATTGCTAAAAAGCAGGGAAAAATCACTAAAAGCTTATCCAATCACTTATTTAATATGGTAGGCTTGGATAACAATAGCATCTAAGGAAATGCTGACGTCGTCGTTTTCGTCGCCCAATTGTTAGTTCGTCTATGGTTAAATACGTGTCACAACATCAATACTTATTAAGGATGTTATTGTTGAATACCATCAAGAGGTGTGGTTGGAGAAGGCTACTGTTATTCGTCGTTATCGTGTGGCACTAAAGTACGACGCGGACGACGATGACGACGTGACAATAAAAACAGCCGATGAGAAGTGTTTGTATATTTCAGTTCGTTCGAATACACAAACATACACATGAATACACATAGGCATATATATATATATATATATATATATATATATATATATATATGTACAAATGACAGGTACATCGTGATGTCAAACAGCACGTGAAGAGGTCATCATCTATCGTCCACGGACGGCTGCCACGAAAATTGGTGATGACGGCGGCCAAGACGGCCAATGATCGCTCTCTTTACGACTAATAAGAGCCACGTCCGAACAGTAATGAAAGAGTTCAAGATGAAGGAAACCGGCGTTTTTGAAGACATGTGGCAAGTAATCAGCAAGAAGATGCGACATAAGCGTAGAATAGCCGATGTGATGAAGTTCGAAATGGAAGAAGAAAAGAAGAAATGAGTTGTTCGACACAGAGAGCACTGAGATCTGGTGAGCAGTGAGACCTGGTTAAGTATATCGATTCTTCCTGAATTTCACTATTTCAAAATCGATAAGAAGCAAATCGAAGCAACTGATAAGCAGGCTAGGATGATAATCGCACCGGCGTGAAGCCGTTGTCACGTTGTGAGAGTGGGCGAGCCCGATAGGAGTCGCTGGTTTATTACTCGTCAATCAGCCGATATTTGGAAAGCTAGAAAGATAAATTATGCCTATCGATTATGTGCGCTTTTATCAAGCAAAAATCGTCGTACATTTCGACCATTCGTGTTCATTTGTGGTAAATTTAGTTTGTAAATGTAGACAGTAAGACATTTGAAGTGTTCGGAAAGAAACACAATCGACCATTGCTAAAATTTTTGAATCACAGACTCGACATACATCTACATTGATAACATATGAATGCTACGAAGACCAATAACGACTAACTACTACTAACTAGTACTACTTCTAGTACTGCCACTACTAGTAGTGCTACTGAAAGGTAGTAGTACTACTAAAAGGTAGTAAGGATAAAGAATAAAGCTCTCCGTTGATCAATCCCCGAGGGATGAACCATGCATTCGACTTCAATAAGCATCGTTCGAGGTAAATGAATGCATATCTGGCCTTTACAATAACTCGCGGTGGCCTACCGATGTATTGAACCAGTGCTGCTGGCCTCCCAGACAAATCTGGTACCAACTTGCTGACCCCGAAGCGATGGAAGGCTTAGTGGGCCATGGACGCGGGGATCGATTCCACGTGTGTTGCAGGGAGCCTCCGACCACTGCTTCACACGTGCCTTAGTAGTAGTGGTAGTAATCATAATTATAATAATGACAATAATAGTAGTACCAGAGACAATAAAAATAACGAGAAAGAGAAGAAGAGAAAGAATAGCAAGAGAGAAGAAAAGACAAAGAAAAAACTAACGTATCGATAAGAGGACATAATAATGAGAAGAAGAGTAAGAGTAGGGAAACGGGAAGGAAAGTATCTATCAGGCAAGTGACCAGCATTTCAGTGAAAAGCAGCAGTCTCGCAGCAGAGATCTTTCGATAAACGAAACAGTAATCAGAATCACATCAACGTTCATAATTTCTAATCGTTGTGGATGTCATGACAACTGCTCCGATGTCGAATGGACAAACCATCGGGCGTGGCCAAATCGGACATCGTTTGAAACACGGCGCTTCTTCCGTTGTCCGAAACCATCTGTCTGGGCTAATTGTCATCTCATAAGACTCTTCTACTCTACCCATAGGAGATACACGCTCATCGACTACGTTACGCCAGCTACTCATCCAGCAAACATAGGAAGTTGACCGGAAAGCGCACAGACCGTAGACCATTGCCCTACTATACACTCCTATAGACAAGCTACCAAGCAGGATCCCATGAACGAAAAGCAGAGACCTAAAGAAATTGGTGGTTGAAGACTTTGCTTCCTCTATAAGGAAGATTCCGGTGGGGAACACTGATGCTCTATCTTTCATTCTCTGATTTAGAAATAATACAGAACAGGATACTTGTTTTGATCCAATCATCATTTCCCGCGTAGAGGATATTGAGTGTTGAAGCAATTAAGTAATTAATGATTTGCTTCTATGAAATAGTTTACTGGTTTAGCAAAATCTTACATGACCTTTTTACTGGATAGGCTCAACCGTCCCTTGATTGGAAGAAGATCAGCATGACAGAATGCGAAAAGAAAACAAAAATGATGTAAAAAACACTAAACAATAACAATAACAATTCAGCCTGAATTCGTAATATCACAGCACACTGCTTAGGAAACATTGAATATTTCGACGAAAGAAGACAACACAGTTGCAACTCGATGATGTTTCACACGAAAGACGGCTGAAAATTGTGAGAAACGAAAACGCCTGACAAGAAATTTTTTTCAAGAGGACATTGAGGTACGAAAAGTTGACGAAGTTCCGAATACCTGTTTACTACGAAAAAAAGCACTATTTTCGATGCGACACAGCTTGCCTGACACCTGCAAAAACACTTCCACTGCCGTAGAACACCTTAAAATGAGCACAAGAGCTTTAGCACGTCTATATTTGTCACCATTCGTAATCGTTATGAGGCATTAACGTAATGAGGGTGGTGCCAAGGTAGTGATGGAATGTCTTGGCCAGTGGGCCGATGGGCCGAGCGATGGCTGGGAGTGGGGCCGGTCGAAGACATGCCAGAGGTCCACGCCCAAACACTGGTAATTGAGCGTGAGCACTCCGTCCACTCACTAATACACAAACGTATTAGGTCAACATTATTCGAAAAGCCGTCGTACTTGACTGAATAGTCTCGAAAATAATGGCATGCGCCAATAAGGCTCCCATCCATGATATTCCATCCAAAAATCCTAGAATGAATGACTTACATACGTAACTGAGAGTTTTTACTTTTTCCATCTATTAAGTTATATGATACGACTTCACAAAATGTGCCAATTTCACCAAGTTTTTTATTCTGTTTATTGCCCAGGATCTGTCATCCACTAAAGTCTTTGGACGTTCATGTAGGTTTGACTGCTATTTCAGAACTTTGTCATCCTCACGAATTTTGTTGAATGGTGAGCTGGTAGATTTTTCCTAGAACAGTGTGATAGATCTGCTAGGGCGCTCCCAAGTGCTCGCCCACATACATACATGTCAGATTAACTCAGACACGATAGACGTCCGCATTACATAAAGAACTTAGGAGCGATTAAAAAAGGCTTATTACAACTTCTAACGTTAACAATTTTGCAGACGTTTAAGTTGTAATAAAAATGTTGAACAAGCTTCTGAGCAGTTTACATAGAGAGCTGATTGACATTTGGAAGGAAAAGTACAAGACAAAAACGGGATGAGCAAGAAACGTTTACAAATAATACGCAATTCGTTAGCCTTACAAAACTGCTTTACAAAACAGATCAACTACTTAACATGAGAGGCTCAGTGGTGACTTTCCAATAAGCTTGAACGAGGGGCTTTGTATCAACGAATTTAGAGCATCACAATTTTTATAAAAGAACGTCTACCTAAAATTAGGTTAGAATTTAACTTAAAGAATGCATACTTTTATAATTATTTATATAGACAGGCCACCAAAGCTAAAACGTTTAACACATGAGCTATGTGGTTTAGAGCAAGAAGAATAGTAAAAATATGGCTGAGAGAAAGGTGGAAAGGCAAAGCAAGAAACCCCGTTCTGTGGTGGATCGACCCTTGATGAGGACAATCGCCGGTTCGAATTTTCGCCGAGGTGCCACGCTTCGGTTATATCTCAGCATCCCAGCATAAATTAGGTTAGGTAACCTGATGCAAAAGACTTACGAGAACTTTGATTTCACTCGTATTTACGATATTTTTTAACTTAGATATGTAACGCAATATAAAAGCTTGGCCAATTCCATTCTGAAAATCAGCGTGCGGAATAACCGCTATATTACGTGACGGGTGAGCAGGGAATGATGGAAGCGCACAAGGTCGCTTCTCCTAATTGGTAACTCCAAAGTGTATCGACCGAGAGCCACACGGAGCATAATGGTGTAGGCGTATGTGTATGAGTATGTCTCAATCCGTTTCCGCGACTCGTCGTTGGATCTAATGGACCCCGTCTCCAGGCTTCGACCGATGACAGCTTACCCGGAACGCAACTACCGTGCAAGCGGGTCTACTCAGATTTCTACCGATATCATCAAAAATATAAAAGTACAGTTTTGTTATCTATTTGAACTTCAGACCACATGGAACCACAGAAATGGCGCAGCGCTATCAACATCAAACATTTCTGGTAGTTTATCACCTATGAGAAGGAAAACGAATATGCAAACTATCTTTGATTTTGGTCCAACTAGATGTTGTGTTTTTCTACGATCTTAATGATTAATCTACTACAATTTGAAGCGATATAGTCTTTTAACAGCAAATACAGTTAGAATTGTGATCAATGTAAAGAATGAGAAATAACAAAGCACATACACTGTTCTTCTTCAATGAGCAAACACGAAGTTGGTATAATAGCATTTATTAGCACACAAGAATAGCTGACGTTTCGGGGGTTTCGCCTTCTTCAAAGTTTCCAAGGTTTCTCATTTTCTCAAGTTTTCTTTCTTCAACACACTAATTTCCACGTGACAGCGATCGAAAATAGAACAGAGAAATTTACGAAGTAAGGATATGGCTGAGACGTCCGGCGTTGATTAATCCTTGAAGGATACACCATACACTCTACATCGTCAAGGATCGTAGAGGCGACCGGATGCATATCTGGCCTACACATTAACTCACTGTGGCATAACGATGTATTAAGCCAGTGTTGCTATCAATTTGCGGACCCCGGAGGGATGAAAGGCTTGGTGAGCCTGGGACGCAAGATCGAACCAAAGATCAAGTATGTATTGTAGGACATATATCACTCACGCTACACGCACTACACGAAGTGCTCTACAGAAAGCATGAATTCCTTTTCTTTTTTTTTCTAGATTTCAGTCGTATGACTCTGAATGTTTTCCAAGGTAAAGAGGACTTCTATTACCTATCATTTTTTTCAACCGCTAATTAGGATGACGTCAACAGTTACCATGATCTCAAGAGGTGCGGCATTCGGTCGGCTTCAAACAGACGAGCGAACGTCATGCATCAAATTCCAATCAAGACATTCGGAACAAAAGAAATCTTTGGATGGATTGGTTCTGGTGAAGGAGTGCTTTGCAGAAAGTTGAATAGTAAGATGGAATAGTTGTGGCCTGGTAGGAGAGAGTAGGAAAACTACCTATTAATTTATTGCCATTAGTTGTCCTTGGCAACTATATGTGTTCACTACGCGACTGGATATTTGTAGGTGATGCTAGCACTGGGCAAAAAAAGCGTTTCCCGATCGATAAAGGACATTTTCTACGAAAAATGAGAGAAAAGGTGGCGAAATAATTCTAACCGACGGAATGCAACATTTGCAAAAGTGTTCAGAACACTACTTTCAACCGACAGAAAACAATAGGAACAAAAAAATGGGCCTGCAGAAATTTGACAGAAAAGCTTCAGTGCAAGGAAATTTCGCGCCTATTTCTATAGTTTTATGGATTTGGGTCACTTTCGAGTGTTTTGAATTAAACGTTTTGGACGAATGCAAATGGCGACGTAGTGTCGGCATGGACCGTTCTTCGACTGGATTGATATTTATCACTTTACCATTACCACCATTGACGAGGGAAATTTTAAGCGAACGTCGAGTTCTGTCGACGAGGACTTCGCATCGAACTGAAGTGCCGGAACGACCATCAGACAAGCTTCACGTCACGTTTCAGGGATTAAGCCATACCAACAGAATAAACCATTCATGCAGAAAGTGCGAAAAATTTCCAGCCAGACATGATGTGGTTAATAACTCAACAGACCGACTTTCTATAAACCTCGGCATGGAAAGTTGATAAATTTATCTATATGATTTTATAAACTGATCTTGTTTAACCAAAGCGAAGCTGGTATAGGTCTTTATTTATCTATTATTTGGTTACTCCCCATTGAAACCGGTGCATGAAAAGCGCAATGGTTAAAGTTGTTTCGTAATACACACGTGGTCTTTTGTACTTTCATGGCCAGCAGCAAGCAAGCCCTCATGCCTCCAGAGTCGGCAAGTTGGTACCACAATTGTCTAGGCAACGTCCTCTACCGTCCACAAAGACAGACGAATGCTTATGATGAATATCTGGGAACGCTTTAGTAGAGCTATCCTAAGATTTCAGGAAAGTCGATTCCACTAACATTCGACGGCGTTTATGAAGGAAAGAAAGCCTATATTTAGAAACTGACACCACACGGAAATCTGAAAACCATCGAAGACACCAGCAGCTAGGCCTTATAAATTAATATCTGTCTATGACTACGCTTATTTATAACTATCACTACAAATTCGAGCACCAATATTTAGCTTTAAAAAAAAGTTCACTAGAGTTGGAATATAGGAGATAATATCCGGCATGGTATATCGTCCCAAAGCAATTGGTCGACTAGTCGAAAGGTGAAAAAAAAAGATGAAGTCGAAGGAATTGCTGCAAATTAAGAAGAATTATAATCTCAAATCTCTCCCGCTTCACGAGGTGCGAAAGTCCCGTCCTTGGTGAGGAACCTAGGACATCCCAGCACGGATGTTTTGGGAAATCGGCGAAACCACCATTCAGGATGTCAATGGTGAAAGTAGATGACAGATCCTCGAGTCTTACAGAGTCGAACCGGCGCATGGAACCAGCCATTCAATGAATGACGATCGCGAAACAAGAGAAATGCTAAGGCCCACATGACATGCGCACCTAAGAAAAACCACCTAAGTACCAAAGTAAGCAACTAAGATGTAATTA